AAAAAATTCACTACACCATTGGCTGAGATGTCCTCAAATGTGCACTGATCTAATACTGTATGCCTGCCCCACTTTCAAAGCTAGTATTTTGCACTTTGCAACCAGCTGGTTGATGAAGGTATTCCAGTAAAAAAAAAAAAAAAAAGCAAGTCATCATCTGATTTAAAGCAATCACCAATAGTGATACTAGATTTTTGCCACTCTGCTGATGACCAAAGTCAGGATCAGCCACAGTATTTCCAATTTCTATGTGTGCATATGAAAACTGAACAATGAAGAAAGCAGACAGGAAAACTGTAAGTTAATCAGGGGAATTTTTATTTCTTTTGTCATGTCACTATAACTTAATAAATTATTTTATAATTATGGGGTGTGGTTTGATTAAATAATAAATGAGTAATACAAGTTGAGTATCCCTTATCTGGAATTCCAAAATCCAAAGTACTCCAAAATCCAAAACTGTCCACATGGATGGCTGAGACAGTGACACTTTAGCTTTCTTTGCTTCATGCACAAAATCATGAAAATTATTATGTATAAAATTACCTTGAGGCTATGTGTACAAGATGTATCAAAACATAAATGAAGGTCATGTTTAGACTTGGGTCCCATCTCCAAAATATCTCATTATGTATATGCAAATATTCCAAAATCTAAAAAAACAAAAACAAAAAAAAACCCAAAATCCCAAACACTTCTAGTCCTAAGCATTTCTGTCAGGAACTCTCAACTTGTATCACATGTTTCAAGTGCAACCAATGCTGTCTCCTGCTGCCACTGCTTCATTATTATGTGTTGAAGTAACAAAAGGTACAGCAAGAGAAAAGTGCATCTTATACCACAGGACAACAGCTTGTAGGCTTTAGATGTGTATTTTTAAAGTAACTGCAAATAACTGTATTTGTTCCTTTTAAGAATCAGAAAGTAAATGTAACTTTAAAATTGCAACTGTAACCATTTCTAGGTACTTTATCAGCCCATGGAGCTATAACTGTAACTAATTTTAAAATGTAATTTTTGAAATACGGTTTTTAGATGCAGTATGAAAGCTGAACTGTGAAGAAAGCTGACAGAAAGAACATCAACTCATTTGAAACGTGGTGCTGGATAAGAGTGCTAAGGATAGCATGGATGGCTAAAAAGATAACAAAGGGGTTCTTGAGCAGATCAAGCCTGAACTCTCCCTGGAAGCC